AGACAGGGGTGGGCAAACTTTTTGACTCGGGGGCCACAATGGGTTCTTAAACTGGACCGAGGGCCGGAACAAAAGCATGGATGGAGTGTTTGTGTGAACTAATTTAAATTCAAAGTAAACATCATTACATAAAAGGGTACGGTCTTTTTTTTCAATAGTTTTATTCATTTCAAATGGGCCAGATTTGGCCTGCGGGCCGTAGTTTGCCCATGGCTGAACTAGAGGCCCAATGCACAAAATTCGTGCATGAGTAGGCCTTCCTTCCCCCAGCTACCAGCACCGGCTTCCCTCTGGCACCCAGGACCCGGGCGTCCCTCCAGGACCTGGACTTCCCTTGTAGCCCCTGCTTCGTCCGGAAGGTCGTCCGATAGGACGTCAGTCTAATTAGCATATTACGCTTTTATTATTATAGATGTCCAGAATAGGCGAATCCATAGCCAGCAAGTAGACCTGTGGTTGCCAGGGCTCATGGGGTAGGGAGAAAAGGGGCTGGGGTGGGGAGTGGGGCTGGGGAGCTTATGAATGAAAAGGCATGGGGGTTTTGGGGGGGGATGATGAAAATGTAGAATGAAACAATGGTGATGGTTATGAAACTCAAGAATATGCTAAAACCCATTGAATTGTATTCTTTGAACGGGGGGACTTTATGGTGTGTAAATTATATCTCAATAAAACTGTCTTTAAAAGAACATTAGAGTTAAATTAGTGGGGAATGAGGAAGCCGAATGGTGATTAACTGGGGCGAGGGGATACCCCAAGCAGGTTTTCAGTGGGCGTCTCTAGGGAAGGTGGGCTGAGGGGATGCCTCAGGGGAGGAGGAGGTGTGGTAAGCTGCAGAAGGAGCCGCTGACCGATGGGGCGTCGTGGGCGCTAGCGGCCAAGCATTTCAGACCTCGGTCAGCACCACCTCCCCCATCAGCCGACACCCAGAGAGTCCGGGAGAGTCTGGGGAAGGACCCTTTAGAAAGCTGACGATTTCAGCAAAAAGCATGTATGGCCCTAAAGATGCAAAACCTCAGGGAGACCTGAGCAATGAAGCAAAAATGGGCACGTACAACCCCTGACGTAGAGAGAGAAGTGGCTAGAAGGGGCAGCTGAGCGTTTTAACCAGGACGCTGACTCTTTCTTTCTCTTTCTTTTTCAGACTATAGCCAGCGTTGTGCCTGGGTGAGTACCACATTTACAAAGCTATTTCTGATGTGGCGTCGACTGCCTAAAAAAAAAGTGTGATGTTTCATTGTGAGAGAAACATTCCCTTCTAGAGAAAGAAGGCCGTATGGGCAGCGTGTTATAATTGAATTTTATGCCTTAACTTGCTCGAACTGGCTCGTATCACACTTTTTTTTTGCGTTTCAAATCTGGCTCGGCTGTTCGGTGTCCTGAAACGTATTGTTGAGAACACTGTCTCCACAAGCTTTCCTTTCGCTGCCTTGTCCCCACTCTTAAAGGGGCCTTGTCTTATCTCGGGGGCGCACCTTCGATGACGGTTAGGGAGCCCAGGCAGGCAATTGCATCGGTGGTAAGGGCTCCTCACATGCTCTGCGGTGGGCAAGACTGCTGACAAGGAGCTGTTCTGGATTGCACTTCTGTTCGTTTGTTTTTTGAAGCTGTTGTCACATCATTGTGTGCCTTTTGACATCCAGGCCACAGTGCGTGGTCTTGATGTCTTAGTATTTAGACAAAGAAACACCAGATCCTTTTTTTGTTCTACTCAACCGACAGAATGGGGTTCCGTTCCCTCAAGAGACCGAAGGGAGAGCATCTGAGGGCTGTGGCAGCGGCCGCAGCGCGCAGGCAGGCGGCGCCAGGTCTGCGTGGAGGGGGCGCTCGCTTTTAGCGAGACCTTTAGTGAGGGAACAGACGTGGGCAACCAGGGATCTTTATTTCTGAAATGCCCCACCTGGCTTGACATACCTGAACTCCGCTCTGAATTACCCTGCGGTCAGTGGGCCCATTATTTGGCCCCGGTTGGCTCTCTCTTGTGGGCAAGCCCTCCGCGGTGCTCTTCCGTCAGCATAAACGCTTATGGTGATGAAATGCATCTCCGTCGGTGGGCTGTTGCTCTCGTGAAGGAATGGCAACTGTCGTCAGCAATTTCAGGAGAGAGAACAGGGAAGTCTGCAGGTGCTGCCTCTGAGCCGGTCGCATTGTCCACCGTCTGTCACATCATCGCTGGCTGCAGCGGCCGCAGCGCGCAGGCAGGCGGCGCCAGGTCTGCGTGGAGGGGGCGCTCGCTTTTAGCGAGACCTTTAGTGAGGGAACAGACGTGGGCAACCAGGGATCTTTATTTCTGAAATGCCCCACCTGGCTTGACATACCTGAACTCCGCTCTGAATTACCCTGCGGTCAGTGGGCCCATTATTTGGCCCCGGTTGGCTCTCTCTTGTGGGCAAGCCCTCCGCGGTGCTCTTCCGTCAGCATAACCGCTTATGGCTGTTCCCGGGTGATGAAATGCATCTCCGTCGGTGGGCTGTTGCTCTCGTGAAGGAATGGCAACTGTCGTCAGCAATTTCAGGAGAGAGAACAGGGAAGTCTGCAGGTGCTGCCTCTGAGCCGGTCGCATTGTCCACCGTCTGTCACATCATCGCTGGCTGCTGACCGTTCTGAATGACATGATCTCCTTGGGCGAGTGTCGGCCGTGGGACCAAAGAGAAGGGTCATTGCTGGGATGAGATCCGTGGGATAGAGACTCAGTTACAAGGAGTCGGCCTTCCCTGTCGCCTCCGCGTCTCAAGCCAGAGGTACCGGCTCATTCACGCGGGTTTGAAGGGATATTATCACGCTCATCAAAAGCGGGGTCCCCACCTGCTGGGGTGAAACTCCTGAGGGTCAGGCCCCACAGACGCGTCTCCTTCGGGAATGCAGGCGCAGATCCTGATGGTTCACCGGGGCTGACCTGACTCCTGTGGCGCTTGGCTCAGCACCGGGCCCTCCGCACCCAGCCCTGCCACCGCCCCCCTGGGACCGCCTGGCCTCGGCTCGTTGACCTGTGGCCATGCGTGGGCAGCAGTTCTCTCGGCTGTGAGCCTGGGACCCGTGCGTCCGGGACTCGCCACCTCCCTGCGTCGCCTCAAAGCCAGCGACAGACTCACAGGTTTGTCCACGGGGCGAAGGTCACTGAGCATCGTCTAGGAGTCCGCGTCTTACCTCCGTTCCCACCACAGGCCCTTGGGAGCCAGAGCGGCTTTGGGCTGCACCCCCTCTCCTCGAGCCCATCCTTTGCCTCCTTTTCCGAGAGGGAATTTCTGCTTCGGGAAGCTGGGGTCCTGGCGCGAAGGTGCTCCTGATCCAGGAATCTCTCTCTGGAATCCTGCCCGCTGGGCGTTGGGACAGAACATCAGACTGGGTTTTAGCCCACGGCATTTCCATGGCTAAACATTTGGTCCAGAGCTTCCGGATTTCAACTCACAGAAAAGAATTTATTTCTAATTTGTGGAATTAGAAACGTGCTTCTGAGTCAAATAGCTCACCCTGGCCTGGCTGGTGGCTCGGTGGTTGAGCATCGACCCACAAACCAGGTTCGATTCCCGGTCAGGACACATGCCTGGGTCGAGGGCTCAGTCCCCAGTAGGGGACGTGAAGGAGGCAGCCAGTCCATGATTCGCTCTCATCATTGATGTTTCTCTCTCTCTCTCCCTCTCCCCTCCTCTCTCTCTGAAATCAATAAAATAAGAAATAGCTCACCCTGAACAGGACGGGAGAGGGTAAGTGTCCTGAGGGTGGAGACTGTCCCCACGTGGGGGGCTGGCTGCAGAGGGAGCCCACAAACTGTGCCCGCCTCTATCCCTCCCACCTGTCAATCATCACTTCCTAGGATTATTGTGACATTGAAGTGCGGTGGCTCAAATTAAGCATGCAGCATTGCTATTATTAACATCATCGCCAAAGTGTGGCAATTGCTTTCAACTTTTAACGACGGCGTTTACCTGGGTAGTGGTGTGCATGCCGGGACTCCATGGATAGCAATAGGGCTTTCCCTTCCTAGCCATTATCCCTCCTCTTTCATCCAATAAACCGGTACTATGCTAATAATTGAATTTTTTTAAAGAGTCAAACATTTTCCCGGTTAAACTGGATTCAGAGGTGTGTTTTTAGCACAGCCACTCATTCTCATAATTTTCTTTTTAAAAAAAAATCTGTATTTAAAAATAAACTTCGGAAGTAGTGCTATATTTCTTACCCACCCTCTGATGTGACCACAGTTCCCTCACGGGAGACTGCTTACAAGTCGGAGGCTCAGTTGCATGGTATTTAAATAATGCGACGGAACTTCAGAATCAAGACCGTAGGGAAGGCACAGAATTAAGGTTTAAATATGTGCTCTGGGCTGTTCGAGGCGCTACATTGTGATTCCGAAGGGTATCTTGACTATTTCCCTTTGGTTCATGGAGGTACGGAGGGAATAGGAGAAAACTAAATTAAGGGCGACTGTTAAATAACACTGAATTCGATTTTAAATTTAACCAGGAATGTTCATTCACCAGCCTTGTCCTCCGGCCGCTCCACGCTTCCTCCCCCACCCGTTTCAACGCGTGTGACTTTTGTCCCCCGAGAAATTTTTCTTCCGTGGAGTTGGTCTGAGTGCCCACCATGGCCAGACAAAAAAAAAAGAAAAAGAATCTGGAAGTTTTTCAATGAAGCGTGTTCTGCAGCAGCCAGGGTTGTGCCAGGGCTGCCCAGGCCTCCCTCACATGGACCAAGTTGGCCTTATACCCCAGAGTGGCTACACATTCGCGCTCCACGTCTGGTCTGCGCTGAGTCTGCAGAAACCCGTGGGATGCGCGCGGCACAGAAGATCTGACAACTCACACGACATCCGGCTCCCACTTCCTTCCTTTGCTGGTGCCTGGGCTTTTATTAGCATCCTTGGATCCCACGGTTTCCTTTCTGAGCAAAAAGCCCTTCTCCCACCAGAGCAGGGAGCCGCCTGGAGACTGGGTGAGAAGGAAGCCGCCAGCCACCTAGAAGGATGTTTCTGGAGCTGCCACGTCCATCCCGCCCCCAGGAAAGTCCCGCATTCTTCCGAGAAGTTTCCCGAAGGGAGTCTGCTGCGTAATGGTTGGTCAGGCACCAAGGGCCTGGGCAGGAGCGTCACAGCTTCCCCTCTGGGAGCACAGGACACAGCTTCCCGATATAAACCCACGCCCAGCCCCAGCTCCCAGCAGGCCCAGCCCAGAGCTGGAGGAATCCTCCTTCCAGAGAACCCCAGGCAGCCACAGGCAGGAAAGCATGGATGGTCGCCGGCCAGGATGGCTCCCCGGGGCCGCCCCAGGAGCACGAGAGGTAAAGGGAAGCTCAAGGAGAGCCGTCTTGTGAGGCTTTAGTCGGGGTTGCAGTGGTGACATCCCTAAGGCATTTAGACCTGGGCTCCAGGATGCGGGGGAAGCTCTGGGGAAGGGAGAAATGGGCAGGCGGCAGCGGGTGAGCCTCGCCCAGCCCTGGCAGGAAATCTGGGCGTGGCCGCAGGAAACCCTGTGGTCCCGGCTTCGCCAGGCAGTGCCTGGGCTGCTGGCTGTCAGGCCGCCAGGAACCCCAGGGCAGGCCCGCCTCGGAGGAAAACAGTCCCCAACCATTGTGGGGCCCTGGGCCGGCCGCGCACATCAACATCCCAGCCCTGTGAAGCGAACATTTCCTATTTCTATCACCCAGACCGCCCTCCCATTGTCCCTGACAACAGGACTTGGGAAGTGGCATGTGGTTCCCGGGACCTGGTGAGAAAGGGGGAGGTGCCAGGGCAGGGGGCAGGGAGCTGGTCGTCCGGGAGCCTGTGTTCAGGGCCACGAGGCGGGGCCCGTGTGCTGGGTGCAAGGCTGTCCTCACCTTGTAGGAGCAGATGGTGTCTGTCAGCTGCAGGCCCGGCGGACCCCCAGGCAGAGGCATCATCCACCCTGCGTGAGGGCAGGGATTGATAGAGCCTTTTCGGTGTGAGTCACAGAAAGGTTTCTCAGACCCACTGAGCCACGGGCTTGGGAATGAGTTCCGGTGGCAAAGGGAAGGCGAGTGAGCTGATCTCCATGGCTACGGGGGCTCGCCCCAGCTCCTGCCCCATCCGCTGGGGGCGTCCCCGTGTGCATCGGGACACTGCGCTAAGGATATGAGATGCGTTTGGCTTCAAACTGCTGATTGGAAATGACTTTTTAAAACTGCTTATTAGGCCCAGCCAGTGTGGCTCAGTGGTTGAGAGTTGACCTATGAATCAAGAGGTCACGGTTCGATTCCTAGTCAGGGCACAGGCCCAGGTTGTGGGCTCGATCCCCAGTAGGGGGCATGCAGGACGCACCCGATCCATGATTCTCTCATCATTGATGTTTCTGTCTCTCCCTCTCCTTTCCTGTCTGAAATTAATACAAATATACATATATCTATATCTTTGAACCTGCTTATTATGATGCAGAGTTTAGGGCAAAGTATCTAAAATGTGGGAAAAGGGAAGACTGCTGTGGAAGCCAGTTGCATGATGGAAAACCTGAGTTGCTTTTCTTTGAATAGATGTGAGAATAAGCAAAAAAAACACAAAAACCAAAACTTGCATTTGTGTTATTTTATGATGGGGCTTACTGAATTCTAACAACTTAAAAGCAATATGTTGACGTATTCAAATGAGTTCAGACAACTCTATGAAGATTGATCTGCTATCAGAAATGGCACTTCTTTAAAGCTCCCATGTTCCCGTGCTGCGGCAGAGAAATTAATTTTTTAAAGACGCCATGTTGGTGGAAATATTTAGTCACCAAAAAACAGGACTTGATCTCTTTCCTGTTTTTCCAGATAACTTCCACGGAAGGCCTTATGCCTGGAAGATACACGCGCTCGTGGCCCCGCGCGGCAGGCAGAGCAGGTGACAGGACAGAGCCGCTCACGCTCGCTGTCCGGTTTGAGCCGCAGCGGCGCCCGGAGGGCATGTGCTTGCGTGTCTCACCTCCACGCGAACGGGGGGAACACAGGCAGGTGGGCTGTGGGCCGGGGGCCCCTGCGCTGCGCTGGGTCCTCTCCTCCACCGAAGGGGAGGTCCCCGCCAGCCCAAAGAAAATAAAGCTTCCTTTATGAAAAGTATGGCTTTGCAGCTTTTCAAGGCCTAGCGCTCGCTAACAAAAAAGAGCACGTCCCGTGGGTCTTCCGCTCGCGGTTCGCTGGCAGACAGCTGTATTTTGGAACAATTTCCCGATTCCCCGCGTTGATCTTGGCCAGGCCTCCCTACTATTTCCGCGTGCGATCTGCTGACCGGTCCGGCCTCTATCTCTCTCCACACGCTCGCCAGGCTTCCTTCCCGCCCCCTGGCCCGCGGCTGGTCCGTGCCCCCGCCGCCCGGCGCTCGCCCCGCAGGCTCGGGGCTGGGCGAGCTCTTGAGAAATGCGGCCGCGATCCCAGCTCTGACTGCGTGTTTCCGAGAGGAGCCTGGGAAAAGGCGTGGGCAGAAACGGGGCTCAGCCCTCCAGCGCTGAACGACGGAGACCGTCCCCGAATCTCACCTCCTGTCTCTAAAGTAAAAGGCGGTGCGAGTATTTAAAGGTCTCTTCACGGCACCGAGTTCTGTGACCCCGGGCGATGCGTCTCTTGGTGTTGAGGGCACAGCAGAAATGCCCCCGGCGCGGCCACGGCTGTGTGTGTGGTGTGTCCGGGGCCACATGCACCGCCTTCCTTCGTGGGGTGCCGTGTGTCCGTGGACCGTCCCTGTTTTGAACTCTCCACTTGGAAAGCCGCCTGGGGCGTTTTCTCGCTGCTGTTTCTTAGGCGCAGGTGCTTGCGCACACCTTCCACAAGGGGCAGGAACCGATGGAGGAGGGTTTGGCTAAGGGAAAGGGTTTTGAAAGGCCGTGGTACCCTTTCTGAGATGTGGCTGGAAGGCAGGCAGGGATGGCGGGGCCCACGGACTTTGATGTTAACATGTGAGCAGGCGCATCAGTTAATGGAACGAAGGCGCTTTGCCCGCTGTTCTGAGGTCCCTGCGGGTGGGGGTGGGGGGCGTCTGGGGGACCGGAAGGGGGTCCTTGACATGAAGAAGTGGCTCCCAGGAAGGCAGATCTCTTCATCTGGTCGGAAACCATGGAAACCCCCAGTGCCCGCCCCCCTCTTCCTGGGAGCTCTCCGTGAAAGACAGGCTGGGAGGGAGTCGGCCCCGGGGGCTCGGGTGGGAGCGGGATCCATTCAGAATCCTGCCGTTTCCAGGGCCCGCGGTTGCTTCCTCCCAGGGCGAAGCCACCTGACGTTCTGGGATGCGGTTTCCCGTCGTGGGCGGATTTATTTAATTTTTGATGAGTGAGTCACTACCCAGGGCTGTATGTGTCTGAGCTGAGGACTGAGTCACGTTTCCTTTATTTTTTTAAGATACATTTTTATTGATTTCAGAGAGGAAGGGAGAGGGAGCGAGAGAGAGATGGGAACATCCTTGATGTGAGAGGATCATCCATCGCTGCCTCCTGCAGGCCCCACGCGGGGGACGGAGCCTACACCCCGGGTCTGTGCCCTGACCGGGAATTGAACGTGACCTG